CCTCTTGTCCTGCAGAAAAACCAACTCCAAATGCAGTCATGACCTCAACATAAGACCTGAAATCTGAGGGAAAATTAAGATTATATTTCAAGATATGTGTTTCCTGAACAGAAGTCCGATGAATCAAACTAGAAGACCAATAATCAATGAGTGGGGTCTTGTGAATCAATGAGCTTTTGTACAGCACAGGAAAATGCTAATCAAGTAGAGAGATAGCTACAGGACAGGAGAAAATACTTTCCCGCTACACACCCAACAAAGGATTGGTGTATAAAGTTCCCAATGCTTAGAGAAATGGAATTAAAGCACGCACACACACATGGTATCTACTTTTTCCACTTTTGTTCAATATAGTGCTTGAAGTCTTAGCTAGAACAATAAAACAAGGCCCTAATAACTCCACCAGGAAGTTTTGGGAGCTGACTCACACTCTTAGAAAATGGAGGTAGTACACAAGCTTAGCATGCAAAACCAATATCTTTATTATATAAAAATGGCAAATATACTAAAACAGAGACTAGGAAAATAATTCCGTCCACAATTGCCTAAAACAAACATTTAAAGAGCCTTACACTGCACCCAACCAAGGAAGTAAGAGATCTCTACACTGAAACTAAAACGCTGAAGACAGTAAACGAAGAAGTAGCCAGAAGATGTAGTAGCCAAAGAAGTAGCCTCCTAAGGTCATAGATTGGCAGAATTAACATGTAAAGGTGGCCATACTACCAAAAGAAATCAACAAATTTGGAGAAGTTCCCATCAAACTTCCAATGACGTTCTTCACAGAAACAGAAAAAAAATAGAAGAACAAAAGACCCTGCAGAAAATAAGTCACATACACTGGGAAGAATGCAGAAGAGGAAACTATAAAACAACAGGCAGGAACTGAACCTGTCTAAGCGCTACGGAAGTCTGTATGGTGTTTTCTGAAAATAGAGAATAGATCAACCATGTCCAACTTCCCCAAGAGGTTCCTAGTCAGCACAACACAATGGCCATGTTATGGCCACATCCTAGGAGTCTGTGAGCAAAGAAAGGCATACAGAAATGTGGCACAAATACACGGGAACGGTTTTCAGCCCAAAGAAACAGGAAAGATGTCATCTCCAGGAAAATGAAAAAAGGACTCCGAAAAATAAGTATCAGGTGTTTTCTCTCATTGATGGTGCCTAGATTTTATATCAATACATAAAATCAGATATGAACACAATGTGAAGATTGGAAACTATGTAGGGGAAGACATGGAAGCTAGTGGGAGAGTAGGAAGGAGGGAAAGAGGGTGCCTCTGAATCACCCAGACTTAATAAGAACCTATATATCTCAAATCTCAGCTGTGAGCCAATGAACATGGGCATGCCACCTGAGCAGTGATGCTTTAGGGACACAAAGCACGAAAAGGAAAGATAAAGGCACCCACAGATAGTCAGTCTGCCACTGCTGTAGAACGTTAAAGATTCTCCAGAGCGCCTCAGAGCACCCGGATCAGGAACTCCGCCCTGATCCTGAGAAGGCAGAGCTTCCTTTTGTAGAAATTGGAAGTCCCCACATCCCTCTAAGCACCTACTGTGAGCTCTGTGGGTGAGACTCACAGCTGTATCTCACTGGAGTATTTGCCACGTGGACCCACACCCACCTAGGACACTGCCAAAATCCCAAGAGAGAACCGTGACTAAGATCTGTACCTTCCTTGGGGTCCTGTATCCGTGAGAAACTTCTTATGTCTCTTCCCTGACATTTTGGAAAACAGTTTCGTTTTTTTTTAAAAAAAAAAAAAAAAAAGGAGAAAAATACTCTTGAGCAAAGGCCTAGTGTAAAGAAGAATGTGATTCTGGCACACTCTTTCTCACCCCATGTGAGGTTTATTGTTGATCCAGCACCACAAAGGCAGCTGTGGGGGAAAAGCACAAAGTCAGGGGGTAAATGACCTTACAAGCTAACACTGTATTGCCCAAAGTGACGCCAAGAGTTCTGCGCATATTGTAACAGACCACAGACCGTATGGGGTTTTCTTCTCAAGAGGATAGAGATGAGAAAGCAGAGAGGCAGACAGGTGAGGCAGTCTGTCCAGGACCAACCAAAGGAGAGCGTGCAAAGGACTGAAACAATGGCTCAGAAGGTAAGGGTGTTTGCCACCACGCTTGATGACCTGAGCTCAGTCCCCAGGATGGGAGAGCAGTGGAGGACGAGAACCTAACCCTGACCTCGCCATGCAAACTGTGATACACGTGTGCGTGCACATGTGTGTGCAAATACAGCAATACGGAGGCAAAAACTGTGAGCACTGACGATCGGGTTTAATCCCAGCAGCCTGAAATGAAGGCAGCACATTTATGTGTTCCCCTCACTGACTCTTACAGGAAAAACTGGAAATAACACCACTCTTTAGATAAACCTCCCCAGAAAATGAAAATGGAGAACACTTTGAAACTAACAGCATCCCTTGTCTGATGTTTTAAAAATGGAAAATGACACATAAATCTCTCTTGAAAAAACAGAAGCAAAAAAATAAAAAGCACAAATATTAGCAAATTGATTTCTAATAATTCTTATAAAAAATAAAAGATAACCCAACAGAGAAGTGGGATTTTGCAAAGAGGATATCCAAAGGATTAAGGGGAAAATGGAGCATATCACTATTTTTAATCACTAAGAAAATGAAAACTAAAGCCACAACATATCCATTAGAACGCATCCAAGTCAAAAGATTCGTTCCTATCAGGAGCTAAAGAGAGGGTCAGGAGGAAGTGTGGGTACACTCACGGTGAGCGCGGGTCTTCAAACGCCACCAAAAGTAAACACAGAGATGCTCTACTTTCGCCAAATTCCCGTTCTAGGTTGATGCTTCAAGAAGATTCCCCAAAAGAAATGGTGTTCCTGCCATCTTCATAAGATCTTAACATTGGAAACAACCTAAACAAAATATCAGAATGGATAAACCACGGAGTGCCACACAGTCATTAAAATGAGCCATAATTGCAATAATTCCTACAGATCGAGTGTTAAACAAAAAGAGGTCAGACAGAAAGTGGATGTGCTTATGAATGTATTCACTTAGAAGAACACATGTGGAAATGGCCAGAACAAAGCTTATCTCAGGGAAGGGCTATGTGAGAGGAAGTGGGGGAGGCGTGAGACAGAGCTTTCTTCTTTACCCCCACTGCGGTCTGTCCCAGGGTGTTTTCACCTGATAGTTAAAAAATGTTCCAGATACTGATAAGGGACAGGAAACAATGCAGATGCATTCATATCTTAAATGAAAATGGCTCAAGCAGAGAGACAGGAATGATGTGCATGTTCAAGATCAGCAGCAGGGCTGTGGGCGGCCCCCGTGCCTGTGGCCTTGCAAAGACCCCCAGAGCAACAAGTGCTCACCTGTCTGACACCTCTGGAAGTGTGTGCTACAATAGCTCTTTTCTTTGTTCTCTCCCAAGCAATCAAAAGGCATTTTTATGTTACAATTGTGAAAACACCAATAAAAACTGTATTTTCTTTACTGAGTAATGAAGAAAGGCCCCAGAAGACAGCTCAGTCAGTGAGGGAACCGCCATGCAGGCCTGGCTTCCTGGGTTCTGATCCCTACCACCAAGGTTGGTAAAAAAGATGAAAAGAAAAAAGAAAGTGAGGCAGAGCTCACTTGTAAGCTCCAACCTGGGACCAGGAAGACAGACAGATCCCTGGAACTCACAGGCCCCTAGCCTTGTCCAGTCAAGAAACCCCAGATTAAGTGAGAGACTGCTCAAAGAATAAGGAGGAGACTGATCAGATGCTGAGCACCTGCATAGGCACACATGCACATGCTTGTGCCCCCACACACTGACAGGAACACATACACACATGTGCACATACCAAGAGACACACATAGGTACATACAAACCCAGAAACACATATGCACACATACAAAACACATACTTGTATAGTCTGTACATCTGGACTTTGTATATCTATCTGGGTTTCTATAACAAGAATGGAAGTGGGATCTCTGTCTTTCAGACTCAAGTTCTGAGACCAACAGACACGCCTAACGGCCACTTGATCCCACTCACACAGGAGTGAAAGATACAGTCAGAGAAGCTAAAATTAAAGTGACTGTCTTTTAAACCTTTTGGCTCCTCTTTATAAAGGTAGGCCCTGAAAAACCTTATTTTGTGAGGTATTCATGGGGGACCTAGAAAACTGCTCTTAACATTTTACCATAAATTAAAAACCATGTAAGCAGGACTGCTAGTCAGCTCCTGCCAACTACACATTTTTTTTTTCCTGGTCAAGGAGGCTTTGCTATTGCAAACGAAGGGGAAATGAAGACATTAGAACTTGGGCATATCGACTGAAGAAAAGAAACAGGAGTGAAGGTGGGTGTTGGATTAAGTTGGTCTCCCGGCCACAGTTTCATTTTTCTAGGCAAGGAACTGGCCCTCTCTCCCTTCCTGGTGGCGAGGCTCTTTCAGCAGTGTGGCACTTAGGTGGTAGGAATCTGGAAGGGGTGCAGGTGTGAAAATAAAACGCTAGCCCTAATGAGAGCTCCGTGGGTGAGAGGAACAGCTGCCCGGGAGCTGGGTGAGGAGGGAGCTGCTCCCACCTGGATGTAGGGATGGGGACTCGCCTTTGAATAAACAACGCTGAAAGAGTGGGGGATGGGAAATTGGGAAATGGAGGTTCAAACATTACTTGCTAATTCTAAACATGTGCAGCCTGCACATATGGCCAGTTGAGGTTGGCAGAGGGTGAAACAGAACCTCACCGACCTGCTCTCCTCGGTGACAGCTATATTGACTTTTCCTCTGGCCCCTGCTTTGGAGTCTCCATTTCCTAATTCCAAAACAACAGAGAGGGTAGTCATCTCTCGTGTCTGAATATACTCGACATCCGTGTTTTCACTGAGAGACGCTCATCCTCTGTGGGCCTGCAAACCATCAGCGTCACTCGGGCCCACAGACTAGGGACATTTATAGATCGGCAATCTAGTGCAGTCGAAGACCACAGGCCACTCCTCTTCCTTTCCTTCTTGGCTCCCTCCCCTTCCTGAAGCACATCCTGCATAGAATGTGGCACAAGCAAGTCTACTCCACCCATCTTCTCCTATTAATAGAACACGGCAGGGCAGAGAAAAGCCTTTGAATGTTGAGTCAGTAGCTAACGCAACTGTAGATGGCCCACCTGGAGTCCAAGTCAACTAGGAGCCCCTCTCTCTCTCTCTCAGAAGAAGCAGCTGGAAAGAATGTCTCCAAGGGTGGACCAGAAGAATAACATGACCAGGGAAGCTGCACGGGGACCGAGGAAGGTATGTGCATGCTAACAACATCAGCCAGATGATTTTTTTCACTGTGCATAAACAACTGGCTAGGATATAATGCAAGCATGGAGCTGTTCTATTAATTCAAGTATTGCCCATAGCAAAAAAAATTTCAATTAAATATGAGCACTAAAGGAAAAGTTTCCTTGCTTCCCATAGTGAACCTTGTTCTAGTGGGTTGTCAGAGAACCCAACTCACTAATTCCAGCCCGATTTTAAGTAGCATATGGGCTGGGCATATAACAGCGAGAGACTACTTACCCAGCATGTACAAGGTCCTGGGTTTGACCTCACATCATCATCAGATGATTATTACATAATCCTTGAGGTACAAGATCTAGCTCTTGCCCACTTTAAGCAGTCTCTAAGTTCCTTGAGGTGGGTATTTAGTTGAGGGCTTCACTCCAACCCCCTGGCATCCATATTGAAATGTTAGGCAGAAAACTCCATTCCAAGCCCCTCCTCTGGGAGTGGCTGCAGTCCAGACTCCACCTCCAAGAAAGCCACCAAAAGGTGACCCCTCCCAGGGAGAGTCAAGGCCACTCCAACAGGTTATTTAAACTGCCCCCAGAGAATGAACACGTGGTCTCCTGATTTTCCATGGTCTTTCGGTTCTCTGTTCCCCTCTCTGTGTTTTCCCTGGGGGCCACCCAGGAGTGTTGGCATCCATTAAATCTGGGCATCTTTTAATTTGGTCTGATTTGTTCTGATTGAGATTATTGCATCAATGGAGAGGTTTGTTGGCCAAGAAAAAAATACTTAACAGTAAGTATAATGCATATTCATATTAGTATTTGCCATAATACCTCCTAATATCTGGGAATGTATATAACTGTATGTGTATGTGGGTATATATATATATATAGATAGATAGATAGATAGATAGATAGATAGATATACATATCTCTATATACATATATATATATATCTGTGTGTGTGTATATATATATTATATATATATATATATATATAGAGAGAGAGAGAGAGAGAGAGAGAATATCCAAAATGCTTTATTCGCTTCACATGGGACATAAAGGTGATTAATAAATTAACCCTATGCACAAGGCCTATAGTGGTCTTTTACACTAGAGATGTATAAATAAATGTGTAGATAATGCCAGATATTTTGAGGAAAGTAACAATGTTTTAAAAACAGCAGCAACAAGAGGGGACTCCTCTGTCTGGGTGCAAAGCTAGTTGGGGGAATGAAGCTTGAGTTTGCCCTAGCAGATCAGCAGTTTCAGCAGGTAGAGCTAAAGGAAGTAACTTACCTGAAGAACAGACACAGAAAGGTGACCACCTCAGCAGTCTTCCGCTCAAGCTGCGGAAGGTGCTCTCTGAAGGAAAGTAGGTGCAAGGCTAGAATAGCAGGTTAGCCCGGCAGCGCTCCCCAGCGGAGGGCTGTGGATGATAGATGTTACCTGCTAGTACTTGGTGTCTGCTCAGAGCCAGTTCAAACCCATAGCTGTTCCACTGTCAACATCTGAAAATGTAAGTGCCACATTGTTAGGATTCTTGGAGGTCAAGGTTCCCCATATGCCTTGGATTCTGGTAATATGTCATCTCATGGAGTTCAGGAGGCACAGGGAGGCAGAAGCCAGCTACACACACCAGTGACAGCAGAGAAACCTTCAGAATCCAGTCTCTATGGTCACATAGGGTACCGGTGACAGTGACCCTTCCATGAACCCCGACAGCTGTGAAGGCAGTGCCTCTGATACCGCATGTCTGCGGACTGGCCCTGCTCTCTTACCAAGGGCACCAGCTGTCTAGCCACGCTATAAGGGTTTAAATGAACCAACTCTCAGATTAAGTGGCTTCATACAAAAGCCATTTGTTATTTTTGATGATTGAATGGGGGTCTGGCTTGTCTGGGGTAGCCTCAGCTCAGAAAATGTAGCTGTTGACCAGTGGGGGGGGTGTATCTTTCAGCACAATACAGGATTGGCAAGAGAAAACAGAAACATACAAGCATCTTTTCAGACCAGGTCTGTCAGAATTACATACCACTGTTCAGGAGGTGTGGGAGGGAGTGACCAGCATCTCAACTGGGAGTCTAACCCCAGTTAGACTCACCCCCTCCCTCAATGAGGGAACCTCAAAGTCCTCAGGCCCAACCCGGAGACTCTCTGACAGTGGCCACAGCGGCTCTGAGGAATACAAAGGTATACAGAAGTGGGCCAAAGGCTCTGGCCTGATGGTTCAGTGTACTTAGTAACTTGTCAAGAGGTTGTTTCCAGTGTAAGTACTGTGAGAGCTCACCCATCAGGTCTCATAGGAAAAGCATAAATTTTCAGAATAAACTTTATCTTCTTCAATAAACATGGACTATTAAATACTTCTGCCGTATTTCCATCTCTCCTGAAAGTTTATAAAGCACAAGGCCTCAGGGGGAGAACCTCTTAACCACTAGGCTAACAAGAAAAAGTCTGTCAAGTACAAACTCAAACTGATCCACAGCGTGCGACAATCTCAATACAAGGACTATCAAAAGGATAATTTGTTTTAGCTACTTTCCTGGTCCACTGTGACAAAGCGCCTGGCAGAAAGAAACTTATGGGAGAAGAGGTTGGTTTGGGCGCAAAGTTTCAGTTCATCCTGGTAAGGATGGTAAAGATGATGGGGGGCTAATCAGAGCAGCTCTGCCCATGGGAGAGGAAGCATGCAGCCATTGCTGTGGAGGCGGGAGTGACAGAACCAGAATTGGGCATACCTTTCAAAGATTCTTCCTTCGAGACTACTTCTGCCAGCCGGGTCCCACTCCCAAGCAGACAAGGAATGTTGAAAATGTGTCTCAGGGGCAGGAGAGACTTCAGGTTTCAGCCATAACAGTCAGAATATCCGTCTGTTCTTTTGGAGAGATGGAGAAGGGTAAATAGCAGTTCACAGGCAAGAATTAATCATCGTATCAAACTACCGTGGTTAGAAAGGGGTGAGATTGGAGCCAAGTGGTGGTGGCACATGCCATTAATATCAATACTCGGGAGGCAGAGGCAGGTGGATCTCTGAGTTTGAGGCTAACCTGGTCTATAGAGCAAATTCCAGGACAGCCAGAGCTACACAGAAAAAAAAAAAAAAAAACATGTCTTGAAGAAAAAAGCTAAATAAAAGGGGGAATTGGAGAACAGTTTTGAGGCCTTGTAGAAGGACTATTGGTAGTCTCTTCAAATGGCAGGAAACAGGGAAATTAGTCACCGAATGCTCACTGGAAGATGCTGATAAGCCACGCCAATGAATACAAACAGCAAGAGGATTCTTTATTGTCAAAGGCGCCAACGGGAGACTCAGTACTCCAGTGAGACTGAGCCCCCCTTGTATTTTTCCAGCCAGTATTTGTAGGGTCTCAGGGTTACATAATGGGGAAGCATAGCAACAGCAACATCATTGGTCAACTGAAATTAAATTAACATATGGGATGGATCAACATCAGGACAAAAACAAGTCTACAAAAACAAACCTACAAAAACAAGTCTGAATTAAGCTAGTTTCAGCCAGTTTCTGCCCCCTTGGGTTTCGATACACAAAGGACTGGGTGTTTTTCTCAAGACTGCTTCTGCTGCCCACGGATATCGTGTTTTCATCCTCTAGGCAGGTACAGCTGGTCTTAAGACTGCTTCTGCCGCCCACAGATATCCTGTTTTTCCCTGGCCTAGTTAATCAAAACATCTTAAGATGGAGACTAGGGTTGGGGTCTTTCAATACCCATTGTCAACAATCCTACAAAATTACAAGAGCTGTTCTGCTGATTTCTTTTAGACATTTTCTCTGGTTTCTCTGGTAGACAGAAAAATATACTATCCATCACAGCAAAGATGGAAGCAACATTTTCCAGCAAGTTGAGCTTACTCTCATTGGGGAAGATGACAAAAATACTGTTGATAGATTGTCCACCTCAAAGAAAGAATAAAACATTTACACATATCAGAGATATTTGAAGATGCTGCATTCATGACTGAGAACAGATTGACATGGAGAATAATATGAAATAGTTTCATAAATAATTAGAAATTTAAAAAATAAACATCTATATATATCCATCTGTCTACAGGCAGAATGGGAGAATGGGTATCGATGAATATCAAGTAATTTAGCTAGAAAAAGGAGATGAGCTATTATCCTACAGATCATCAGCTCTGTAGCACAAATAGATGTGAGGATAGAACCAGACACAGGAAGAATGTGTGTAGGAATCCTAACAACGAATGGGAGGTGTTCCCAAAGAAGTGAACTTCCTCAACGAATTGGATTCGTAGGTTAAAAGTTTAGGCACGAATGGAGATAGTGAGACCTGAGCTCCTCCTACGAAACGTTCAGAACATCGAGTCTAAAGAACACGAGCTGAGAGTCTGTGGAATGAAGAGTTGCTCATAGGAAAACAAGAATCAGCTAGAATCCATATTCATCACCAACACTGGTTGCAGAAGACAACAGAGGAAAACAGGAACACAAAGGAGAGAAGTGAAGGGAAGTAGGAAAGAAGACATGAACCCGAGCCTGTCATCCCACAGCACTAAGAGCAGAGTTCAGACTGCAGAAATGAGAGCCATGTGCCCCCAAATGACTATCACATAAGAGCCATGTGCTCGCTACATGACAATCACATAAGAGCCATGTGCTCGCTACATGACGATCACATAAGAGCTATGTGCTTGCTACATGACAATCACAAGGAACATTTGCGAGTGCTGACATGAAAAAGCTCACTATAGATAGCTAGAAAGACAAAATAAGAGCGATATTTCTGTCGATGCCGATATAAACTATATTTAAAGAATTTAGGAGCGCGGCGCGGTCGACGGCCGGTGCAGGCCGCGGAGCAGCGTCACCTTGCCCTCGGCCCTGCTTCCCGCCAAAACGCGCCTCTCTAGGGGCTTCGCTCCGGCAGAAAGCGCTTGCCCCTGGTCATTTAAACTTCCATTTCAGGTTGAGAACAAAAAGAAGATGCACCTGGACTTTCCCCGGACCTCTCTGCGTTTTTAAAGCGTCGGGTGGAGTTGGGGTTCGTAAGCCGCGTTGCTTATCGAAAGTAGAAGTCACTTCTGCCTTCCGCCGTGGAAAACTTGTACCTTCCGTAAGTGTTTCCTACAGAAGGCACCTGTGGTGGTTCTTTAAGCTACCAAAAATTGCCCAAGCTTGTGTGACATCAACCCTGTCAAGTGTTCATGATGCTGGGCCCTGAGGGAGGTGAAGGCTATGTGGTCAAACTCCGTGGCCTACCCTGGTCCTGCTCAATTGAGGACGTACAAAACTTCCTCTCCGACTGCACAATTCATGATGGGGTCGCAGGTGTTCATTTCATTTATACTAGAGAAGGCAGGCAGAGTGGTGAGGCTTTTGTTGAACTTGAGACAGAAGATGATGTAAAATTGGCTCTGAAAAAAGACAGGGAAAGCATGGGACACCGATACATTGAGGTGTTCAAGTCACACAGAACCGAGATGGATTGGGTGTTGAAGCACAGTGGTCCAAACAGCGCCGACAGTGCCAATGATGGCTTTGTGAGGCTTCGGGGACTCCCGTTTGGATGCACAAAGGAAGAAATTGTTCAGTTCTTCTCAGGGTTGGAAATCGTGCCAAACGGGATCACATTACCTGTGGACCCGGAGGGCAAGATTACAGGGGAGGCCTTCGTTCAGTTTGCCTCACAAGAGTTAGCTGAGAAAGCTCTAGGGAAGCACAAGGAGAGAATAGGGCACAGGTATATCGAAGTGTTCAAGAGCAGTCAGGAGGAAGTTAGGTCATACTCAGATCCACCTCTGAAGTTCATGTCTGTGCAGAGGCCTGGGCCCTATGACCGGCCTGGCACAGCCCGGAGGTACATTGGCATTGTAAAACAGGCAGGCTTGGATAGGATGAGGTCTGGTGCCTATAGTGCAGGCTATGGGGGCTATGAAGAATACAGTGGCCTCAGTGATGGCTATGGCTTCACCACTGACCTGTTTGGGAGAGACCTCAGCTACTGTCTCTCAGGAATGTATGACCACAGATATGGAGACAGCGAGTTCACAGTGCAGAGCACCACTGGCCACTGCGTCCACATGAGAGGGCTGCCCTACAAAGCAACGGAGAATGACATTTACAACTTCTTCTCTCCACTCAACCCTGTGAGAGTTCATATTGAGATTGGTCCTGATGGAAGAGTGACGGGAGAAGCTGATGTGGAGTTCGCCACCCATGAAGAAGCAGTTGCAGCTATGTCGAAGGACAGGGCCAACATGCAGCACAGATACATAGAACTCTTCCTGAATTCAACAACAGGGGCTAGCAACGGGGCTTATAGCAGTCAGGTGATGCAGGGCATGGGAGTGTCAGCTGCCCAGGCCACTTACAGTGGCCTGGAGAGCCAGTCAGTGAGTGGCTGTTACGGGGCCGGCTACAGCGGTCAAAATAGCATGGGTGGATATGATTAGTGTTGTAGAAGCGTTTGAGTTATTTCAATCAAAAATTTCACAGGCAGCCAATAAGCAGTCAAGAGCAGTTTATAACTCTAGAGGAAGCTGGGGGACCCACTTTGCACCATGAGTTTGTGAAAATCTGGATTAAAAAATTACCTCTTCAGTGTTTCTCATGCAAACTTTTCTTCTAGCATGTAATATTGAGTAAACTAAAACTATTTTCTTCCGCTTTTCTCAATTAACATTTTTGGTAGTATACTTAAGAGTGATGTTATCTGAGTTAAGTAGTTTTAAGTATGTTGAGTGGATCTTCAAGCACACCACAGTGAACACACTGGGGGACATGTACTTTTCTGGTGAACTCAAAGGTGCTAGATCCCTGATGCAAAGAGAAGCATTTCTCATGTTCATTCTAGTTTTATTTTCATTTAAATCTTTAGGTTAAGTTTAAGCTTTTTAAAAGTTAGTTTTGAGAATTGAGACACAATACTAATACTGTAGGAATTGGTGAGGCCTTGACTTAAAGCTTTCTTTGTACTGTGATTTCCTTTTGGGTGTATTTTGCTAAGTGAAACTTGTTAAATTTTTTTGTTAACTAAATTTTTTTCTTAAAATAAAGACTTTTTCACAATGAAAAAAAAAAGAATTTAATTGTGACTCAACTACAAAGCAAAATCTATATTTAGAAAGGAGTCTACATAAGTACATAGACTAAGTTTCAACTCGAGGATATCGAGAATAATTGAATAAGTCTAAATAAGTTTATTAAAGTAAAACATAGAAAATAAACATGAGAGAATTTTTTTAAATTGCCCTTTCATTAAGACTTCTTATCAAAGTGAATGGAACAAACATGCTTTGTTGTGTGCTTCCGATCAAAGAGAGACAACTTAACCAATGCCACAGCTGAAGGAAATCCTAGGAATATTTTAAAATTATGAGAACAAATATAAGATTATACCAAACAAATCTGAAAATTAGTTGAAGTCAAAGATTTAGTAGGAAAAGTTGAACAGTTAAAATCCTGAAGAAGTCATCATGCCCAGCCGTCTGAGTATATCGAATTAAAACTACAAAGCACAAAGAATTCCTGTAATGTTTACACTGGTGTAGAACATAGAAAAGGATGGAAAGTTTCAGTTTGTTCTACAAATATCACATGGAATCATAATCAGACAAAAATAGAAAGAAACATACACACACCAACAAACTCCAAATTAAACAGAGACAAAATAATTCCTTTCGAGAAACTGTGGGAAATGTGATCCAGTCGTTCAGTCAGAAAATTCAAGACTAAAGCAGAATTGATTTTCACCGAAGAGCTAAAGTAGGCGAAGTCCGTTTTGGTGTAAATGACTGCAGTGAGAGTGTAGGTGAGAAAAACATTTTATTACAACAGTGCTAGGGAAAGGAACTTGTTCAAACTGTAATGGTCATTCCTGGCAATTTTAACTTGTGTGACTTGACAGAAGACACAAGCAGAAACCTAAATGATGCTTCCAAGGAATCACAAGAACTGTTCCTATGCAATCAGATGAAGAATCCACTACTCCTTGATCCCTACAGTACAAACCAAGACAGTCAAATAAAAGACAGAGAGGACGGGGCATGGTGTCCACCTGGAACCTCCAGCACTCAGGAAATGGATCACACATGGAACCCCCAGCACTCAGGAGATGGATCACACCTGGAACCCCAGCACTCAGGAGATGGATCACACCAGGAACCCCAGCACTCAGGAGATGGATCACACCTGGAACCCACAGCACTCAGGAGATGGATCACATCTGGAATCCCTAGCACTCAGGAGATGGTTTACACCTGGAACCCCCAGCACTCAGGAGATGGTGACAGGAAGATCACAAGCTCAAGGCTATCTCTGGCTACACAGCCAGATCCTGCCTCAAAAATAAAAAGTAAATAAAACAGACAGAGACAGGATCCAGGAAAGAGAAGAGCAAACATAGGAGAGAGGCTGACCACAGGGAAGGTAAATCCAGCTGGCCATATAGGCTGCAGATCTAGAGAGAAAAGAGCAGACAGGGGAATAGATACAGAGTAGAGGTGGGGGCTGAGCTATAACTCCACGTGGACTGACAGAACAGGACTAGAGTGCATGAAGCAAATGGACCTCAGGAAGTTCCATGGGAACTAGAAATAGGGACATAGAAAAGTCAGTCAAAAAAAAAACAAATAAGCTAAATATTAACCCTAAAAAAGAATTGAGTCAGTACATTACACAAAGCAGTTACAAATACTATTGATAGACAATATACTTGCTGATTTGACCAGAATTAGGTGTAACCTGTTTGAGATAATGGGGAAGTCAAATTTGTCAGATGGGAAGTCAAAAGATATTGTCTATGAACTAAAAATGTGCAAAGTAGCATAAACACACCATCTAGAAATGCAACTAAAATCTGTGGATTTGTCTAATGGTTTGGGTTATAAATGCTGTGAAACAAGTGCATGTTTTTAAGTTTTTTCACTGGCTGACAAGATGGTAAAGTGGGTTAAAGCACTTGCCACCCAACAAGAACACCTGAGTTCGATCCTGGGACCCATATGGGAGGAGGGGCCAAGGAGATGTCTCAGTGGCTTAAAGTACTTGCCACCAAGCCAGTAATCTGACCTGGATTCCTGAGACCCACAAGGAGGAAGGAGAAAACTTCCACGTGGTGGAAAGAGTTGTCCTTTGACATCCTCATGTGGGTATGTCATGCAAGCACATGAGCACACACTGTAAATGAAGAAATTTAAATGTGATTAAAATCTTAAACCAAATGCTTTCATGTATTTCGTTGACAATTAAAATTAAGGGTGGACATAGCAGTATACTGTGCTCAGCCCAGTGCTCCAGTGCAGGTCTCTTGCCTCTGTTTCTGTCAGTTGCTGGATGAAGGTTCTAGTCCAGACTACTATATCCGTAGTACACACCTTTAATCCCAGCACTCAGAAGACAGAGGCAAGAGACTTTCCTGTGAGTTTCAGTCTAGCCTTGTCTACACAGCAAGACAGCCAGAGCTACCCAGTTAACCCCGTCTCAAAAAAAAAAGTTAAATTCAAATTTTTAGAAGATACAGTGATGATTACAAGTAAAATTATGAGAAAACATATTTTGGACACCAAGATGAGAGAGTAAACCAATAGCAACTGTCCAGAGAGCCAACAATGGATACCAAGCTCTTAAGGTATTCTATCACTTAGTCCAACAATTTCTTTCTGGAAAATTATTTTAATGAAACCATTATAGCATAACACATTACTCCCCATTCGTGAGATTGTGAAGAGGCTGGTACAAACACACCTATTGTGCTGTCTGTCATGCAAAAGGATAACTTGGACCTAGTTAAAGATGGCAAATGTCCTTTGTTGCTTCTTGTATTTCCTGTGTCTTCTTTTTGTCATTAGTTTGGAGTGTATCTTTTCTGCTGATATGTTTTTCAAGTCTACTCTTAGATAGTATGCTGAGATATTCCAATAGTGACTTCATATACATTGTGTATACTGTGTTTCAGGTCACAGTGATCAAGAGACCACATCAAGTGATGTCGATACCATCTGGATTTATAAAGGTAAACTCTAGGTTACACATACAATGGCAAACCCAACTGATGGCCTACTTCTCAGAATAGATCCACATCACCATGTGAGACTTGACTGCACTGATATACATTTATATATAAATTGATAGCGGGTACGGGTGAAATGTTCACAGTGTAAACAAGGCTGTGGTTTTGCAAGCGTCTATACTATTTTTCATACTTTTTCATCTTGTCTCTTTTGCAGTATGTGTCCTAGTTTCATTTCTAGGTCTGTAATTCTTTAAATAAATAAATCTGTTTATTTAATATCCTGGCTGTAGTTTCCCCTCCCTCTTCTTCTCCCAGTCCCTCTTCTCCTCTCCCTGCCCCGCCCCAATCCACTCCTCCTCCATTTCTGGTTAAGAAAGAGCAGGTCTCCCAAGAGACCAAAACATGGCATATCAAGTTGCAGTAAGACTAAGCACCTTCCCATGTATTAAGGCTGGGTAAAGAACCTAGTATGAGGAGTGGGGTCCCATAGTCCTGTAAAAAGGTCAGAGACTGTCCCTGTCCCCACTGTTAGGAATCCCACACAAGGACCAAGCTATACAACTGTCACATATATGCGGAGGGTCTAGGTCAGTCTCATGCAGGTTCCCTGGTTGTCGGTTCAGTCTCTGTGAACCCCTATAAACCCAGGTTAATTGGTTCAGTGGGTTTTCTTGTGATGTCATTGATCCCTCTGCTTCCCACAATCCTTCCTCCCTCTCTTCAGCAGGATTCCCCGAACTTCATCCAATGTTTGGCTGAGGGTCTGCATCTGCTTCCATCAGTTGCTAGGTGACGCCTCTCTGATGATACCTGGGCTGGGTGTAAGTCTGGTCACAAGGGATGGCCAGTTCACGCTATGTGTCCCTCTTGCTAGGAGTCCTTGTTGCTGTGACTTTTAAAGGTCATCTTTTTCCTTTATAGAGGAAGCACAAGTCTGCTATTCCCCCCCCCCCTTGACCACACACACACCTCTCCCAACCCACCAGTCTCCTCTGTCTGTACCACAGAAGATTGGACGAGATAATCAGGAAAACCACCCAGAAGAAGAAAAAGGCGAGACTCGTTTACATGTTCTAGAAGCCAGGGGAAAAAAAAAACTGAAGTCTGTTCCCGTTCTCGAGTTTCACCTTTTAAAGGCAAACAGCCATGGATGCTCCAGAAGAGTCCTTCAGAGCCTCAGTCCGCAGGCGCTCTGGACGCGACTGGCATTGAAAAAAACAACCACTACCACAGAAGATCGCCTTTGTTCTCACTCTCTGAAGCCCTTCACAGCCCTTCAGGAAACACACGATAATGTGCAATGTTATTACTGCAAATGTTGGCCCTGGCAAGCTTACTCTAGAGTCTATCACTGGCTATTCACAAAGTAAAATCATTTTTAAAGCCTATGGGGACAGCCAAGTGCAAACCACAAATCAGAAAACCACCAAGGCGGGCTGGCCTGGCTGCCAGCCTTTAATGTGAGCTAATGGGCGGACAGCGAGACGTGAGAATTGGACTTCACGATGCTCCGTGTACCATGGCAATTTAGAGGGCTGGGTCCGGCTGCCCATCCTTAAGCAAACACTCGAAGTGACGCATCACTGTCTCATGTGTTTTAAGTCTGTCACCAATGGGGAGAGAGACAGTCTGTCTGTCCTCCTTGTTTTGAATGTGTCGCCTGCTTTGGATAGTTATAGATTTGTTTAATGCTGATTCCTATAAAATGAAGATGGGCAGGTGGGGAAGGGGCCAGGAAAATAGGATGAAGTTGTTTAGTGGCAGCCGACCAGCTGCCCTGGAGTTCTCTTCACATTGGGGATTTATTTCCCAGGCAGTGAGTAGGGCTAGCTGAAGCAGCGCTTTTCACAAGTAAAACTAAGCCTGGTGAGAGAGGTGGTCAGAGATGAGCTGGGTCCGGTTCCTACTCTTACACAGATGGAAGTGAACTTAGGCAGAGGTCTTTCCCATCATTTGCTTGAAGAAGAAAAAAAAAAGCTGGGGAGGGAGAGGAAGTGAGACATTGAATCTTTACAAGTAAAAAGGTAAACTGAGAGCCCTATGGACTGGGAAAGTGAGAAAAGCCTGCTATAAAGACCGTGAGCAATGATGTGGAAATGTAAGCTGTGTTCCACAGAGCTCTTGTTTCTGTTGCCAGGACAAAGAGCTGAGGATCAGCTCCCTCTCCCTCTGCATTCCGTACAATTCCAAACTCATACGAAGTCAAGCCAATGAAGAAATGCAAACCCCACAGAGTCAAGTTTCCTAAAGCAATAGTTGTCTCAGTGAAGTGCAACGCATCGCAGGGTGTAGGCAGAGATTGCTAGGACTTCTGTTTCTAGTGACTCTGGAGCTCCACGCTAAGAAAGCAGGCCTCACTGAGAGTTAAGATGTGCAAACACCAGTTGTCTCCCTTGTTATCAATGCAGACTGTGAGTGAAGGTAGGCTCAGTACCACCTATGCTGAGGGGTGGTAGCTGTTATAAAAACAATAATAGAAATTACATTTTAGAAGTCTTGATGGTAAAGAATTGAACATTTACTAGCTTGGGAAAAAGTCAGAAAATAATGAGTGTCCAAAAAGGGAGAGGTTAGACAGAACTATAAATGATTAGGCACAAAGATATTAAAACAAGATGATGGTGATGAGTGGTTGTGTGGATGATGATGTGTGCACACAAACCGTATGTACTTCTGAATGTAGAGGTTAGAAGTTGACATTGGAAATCTTCCTCAATTTCTCAGCACCTTGGTTTTGGAGGCTCATCTATTTAACTAGGCTGGTTGGCCAAGGAGCTCCAGGGATACATTTGCCTCAGTCTCCTGGGCCCCCAACAGCTCTGGGGTTGTAGATATATTCTGCCACACCTGTTTTATTATGTGCTTTCTGGAATCATGACTTAGGTCCTCTTGCTCATGTGGCTGTCATTGTAACAACTGACCCATCTCTTCTCCCTCTACAAGATGATATCTACTGTACAAACAGGAAAGGACAAAACTCACTTTGGAAAGAACACCAAGGAATATACTGAGACAATATTTTTAAAACACTATTTAGGGACTGTCTTAGTTAGGGTTTCTATTGCTATGAAGAGACACCGTGACCATAGCAACTCTTATAAAGGAAAACATTTAACTGTGGGTGGGGGGGTCTCACAGTTTCAGAGATTATCATCTCTGCCAGCAGGGAGCCTGGGGGTGTGCAGACAGACACATCCCCACATCTGACTTCCAATTCTTTGTTGGTAAATAGAATGACAGAGACTTAGTTTGCTCCTGCTACAGAGCTGGTGAAGAGACTGGTGTTGGGGACTGGATCTGGAGAGGCAGAAGTGTCAATCAGCCTTTAGCCAACTTGTTTCCGTGGCAGGAGCAGCCCTTGGGTTAACAAGGTCTGCATGCTGGTGTTAGTGGCTGGGATAAAGCAAGTTGGGGGAAGGAGCTTAGAAGGGGAAGATCTGTGGGATCCATAGGAGACAGGAACTGGGGGGTGGGTGGAGCAAGGAAGGCTGCTACAGGTTTTCTATTGCAGAGCTGGGTATGAGACTGGGGGCTGAGATCTGGGAGAACAGAGGGAGAAGATCTGCAGGCAGCCTACCTGGCCATTATCATGGCTCTTAAAAACATTGTGCAGTAGTTACCTGCGTGTGATCAGCCCAGTTTACAGTACACTGTGAAGGAAGGAGGAGAGTGTGAGCCCCTACCTTCAGCTAAGGAGTTTTCGGCAGTTCCTGCTTCTGGAAAAGGGAGACTCTGTTTTCTTTAAGGGTTTGACTCTGGTAGGTCCAACATGCTCTGCTGGATGGCCTCACATCAATAAGTATACGGGAAGTGCAGAATGGACTCCTGGATTTAAAAAGGAAGAAAAGAAGACAAGAAGTTGGGCAGGGTAAGGACGTGTCTGAGAGAGTTTGGAGGGAAGATTGAGACATGCATGTTTGAAACACATTGTATACATTATGCAATTCTCAAAGAACTAATTAAAATGTTTGATTACAAACACCATGTAGACCAACTCAATCTCTTTCTTTGGCTCAGTCAAAAGTAGGCTGCCATTTTGATCTTTGATCTCCCCCTTGCATCTGACTGGCCTCACCCTTTCCCCCAGGTGTTTTTCCTATGATGTCTGTGTGGGCTCCTGTGTGTAGGTGCTTGTGTGTGTGAATCATGCACGTGTGGATGAGATCAAACGATAACCTGAGATGTCATTCCTCAGATGCCATCCACCTTGGTTTTTGAGACAGGGTCTCTCATTGGCCTGCTCATCAAGTAGGATCGGCTGTCTGACTCGTGAGCTGTAGCCATCCAATGTTTCTGCTTTAAAGCCCTGGAATTATGATCAAGAACTTCCATGCCCGTTTTCTAAAATGTGGGGTCCGGGGATAGTATTCTGGTCCTTGTGCTTGCAAGGCAATCACTTTAACAACTGAGCTACAACTCCAATGCTATTATTCCTATAATTGAGCAATTCAGTCTATCTCAATGGACACTGGTGGCAGCCAGAATTCATCTGTGGCTTCTGAGTTTGTCTCTTGGCCTCTTCAGAGGTATCAGCCCTCTTCTCAACTGGCGTTTATTGTGGGGCAACGGTTTCACCCTGTAAACATTTGTTTCTTGTACTTGTTTAATAAAATGCTGATTGGTCAGTAGCTAGACAGGAAGTATAGGTAGGGCGACCACACAGGAAATAGAGTTGGGGCAATGAGAACAGGAGAATTCTGGGAAGAGAATTCTGCAGTCTGCAGCTGTGACCCAGCCACAGAAGAAGCAAGATGTGACTGCATCACCGAATAAGGTACCGAGCCACGTGGCTAACATAGACAAGAATAATGGGCTAATATAAGTTATAAGAGTTAATAAGAAGCCTGAGCAAATGGGCCAATCAGTTTATAATTGATGTAGACCTCTGTGTGATTCTTTGGGACTTAAGGGCTGCAGAACTGAGCAGGACTGAAAACCTCAGACAACAGGTGTTGGTTCAAGTGACAGTGAACTGTGCAGAGCCCGGATGCAGGAAGTGCAGAGAGAACAGAGATAGCAGGGACTAGAATTGGGCCTGGCAATAGAGCGTGGCTTCCACTTTAGCTTCTGCCCAACAGGTTTAGGTTTCCAGGTCTACATTGTCACTCTGCACACCTAAGAAAGGTTTGATGTTTTTCTGTTGGCTTATTGACTGTACATGAAGCTACTGATATTTTAATTACTGTCTGGGGCTCCAGGGCCCCGCAATCAGCTCCCTGCTGGACACTCAACTGAAGGCTGCTCCACACCTCTCCTTCTGCTCCTCCAGATCCAATCCCCAACCCCAGTCTCATCCCCAGCTCTGTAGCAGGAAACTGGTTGTGGTCTCCCTTTACTCTGACCTCATCCCCAGTAGATCACAAAGACCTTTTCTTCCAACCTTCCTTCCTGCAACTCATCCCAGTATCCCAGCCTCCAACAGCAGCAGACACTCCCTAGGAACACACCACTGGTCAGACCTGGGAAGCGGGTAAGCCTACTGAAGACCTTCACCCCTCCCCTCTTCCCAGCAAACCCGACCCCCAGTCTCACCCCTATCTCTGCAACAGAGCACCAGCTAAAGCCTCCTTCCCCTTCTGCCCACATGTGTGGGTCCCACAGACTTCGGCTCCCACCTCCTCCACACTGTTGTGTCATCCCAGGCCTAAGCTCCAGCCAGCATTCCCTGCTGACCCCCAGCTCACTCCTGCCAGGGGAGCAGGCAGCTGTCTGTAGATCTCCCCCTTTCCCTCTGCTCCTCTAGCTCCACCCGCAGTCCCATCCCTGGTGCTGTAGAAGATGCTCTGGAGCGACCTCTCTTCAAGGTCTCCTCCCATGCCTAGGGCACAAAACAAGCAGATCCTGGTTGAACACTCTGCTCTCCTTCCCCCCCGTGAACCCTTTTAGGCCCCTAGCCCAAGAAAAAGACCTAAGACCACCTGTATGAAGGTTTTAGAGGTCCTTTAATAGTAAATGAATAAATTTATTAACGAAATGCCAGGAAACACAAACAAAACAATTGGAAGAAATGTGTAAATCCCTCTAATAAAGCCAGGAAAACACAAACAGTGAAAGGAAGCGAATAAAACTGTCAAGACTGTGGCCCTGCTTCTCCCTCAGGAACGTCGGCTGCATTGTTCCACAGGGGTAGAGGGGGAAGAAGCGGGGAATGGGGTTCGGACAGCTGTGAGTCCAACAGAGACAACTCTCCCGGAGACAGACTT